TCATTCACAACACCCAAGAAGACGTGTGACGTCACCGTGGGATCACGCTCAATCCGCTCCAGCGTGAGCACGTTTGACAGCACAAAGCACAGCCAATGATGAAAAAGAGAAAGAAAAGAAAAGGGATCACCGTCGCGTCTTGCCTCTACATTTCATCTGCCCTGTTACTTAACAATGTAAAGCATAGCCATGCTTTAGAGACTGTTTTGTCTCTTGACTGAAAGAACTACCTCAAACTTGAAACTGACTCACAACAATACAGGAAATTTCTAACACTTACAACTCTTCAAGTCTCTCTGATAATTGGCCACAAAGGTGACCGTTTGACTGACTTATCTCATAAGGAGCGCTGCTGTTGGCAATTTTGATTAATATTTCTTTCTTCAACATATTTGTTCGTAATTAGACAACAACATATGCTCTTCAACTATTACCTATAACTTTCATGGTGTTCTCCTTGCTGTATGAATACTTTGAAAACGTATACGCTGTAAGAACCCGAACTTTCTGTGTTCCTAACACCTGTCCACAGGATGGCCTAAACAGAGCCAAAGAGGATGGACTGTGTGGGGCCACAGGGCTTCAGACCCTTATCATGCGTCATTCATGACTCACCACTGGGACCTGACCCATGTTCTAATCATCACGGGTACATTAGGCCAATGTCACTTCCCATGTTCATGTTTTGGGATCAATTTAATGTTTCCTTCATAACAAGAAGTACTTGATTAACGAAAATCAGAGTACAAGACACTTGAATATCCCTGATGATCTAAGTAGTACCAAAAGAGATTGTATCTTCCTTTGGTGAAATCCCTATTGTCAATTAACCAGCATAAAGGTTCATGCCTTAGTTCTCAAGGGACGATTAGTCACCTGGGGATTCTACATAGGACATTTTAAAGACATGGAAAACACTGGCCCCGATGACCCAAACCAAGACAGCCCGAGGCCATGCCTCACCTTGGGATCTCTCCTGCCACCACCGCCAGAGGAGGGGTCTCGGCCCCACGCAGCCTGGCCTGGCCTTCGGCTTCCACCCTATAAGGGAGACCCAAGAGACAAGGTGACACCCACAGTGAGACGCCATCGACTGGGCTCCTCGGGCGGTCGGCGCTGCCCCGTTGGGCTCGAGGATGGAAAGGCAGGAAGAGAAAGGCCCCGTTTCCTTGCGAGTGGACCTCAGAGTTCCAGACACACATTATTCGTCATCGATGCCTCATACGCTGGCATTGATCATCATCGATCCAGAAAAGGGGGACCTTCTCTTCCTTCGCCATGGCCCGTGGAGTCAGGCATTCCTCCCCGCACGGCCACTGGGCAACCCAAGGGGCCCGCCCCACCCAACGAGGCCTCGCCATCCCTCGGGGAGCCTCTAGGACCCGTCCCCTGGCTTTCGGTCTCTCTGGGCCGCGGAGGACCAGCTGGGCCCCTGTGCAGGACGTCCAAGAGACCTTCCTAGCCAGAGCTGTCCCATCCCTGGGACGCCAGAGCCCTTCTGGACTGCTGGCCTCGCCCGCATCTGCCGCCCACCCTCCACCAGCCCCTCGCACTGCCCTGCCCAGCCCAGCCCCGACAAGCCCTGGGATGCTGCTCACACTGGTCCCCTGGCTCCAAAGACAACGCTGCCATCCTCGCCTGCTCATCCAGGAAGGAGCCGGCCTTCGGGCCTGGCGGCTGCCTGCTGAAGAGTACAAAGCCAAGAGCAGGAGACCCAATGGCACAGCCATTCTCCAGGCTCGCGGCTTCCACATGCACGCCTCCATCGGGGCAACCCTGCTGGCAGGGCACAGCCCTGTCTCGGGACACCCACCAACCACCAGCTGGCCGCCCAGCCCCGGGACAGAGGTGGGCCCTCCCTGACCCTGCCTACCTCACCCTTGCCCCACGGCCTCAGCCTCGGGGACATCAGCCCAAGACCTCTGGCCAACCTGCAGCCCATGGCATGGCAAGAGGCAGACCATGGGGGGTGGGGTCACCAGGGACCTGGCGCCTTGGGAATGCCGGCCCTCCCTCGCTCTCCTCCTTCAGTTCTGGCAGGCTGGTCCACAGGGGCTCCCACTGGCCCACTGGGCGAACGCAAGCACCAGGAAGGCCCCCCAGAGGACACACGGACGGCCCCCCTGGATGCCTGGCCTCGCCCGTGAGGGTCACGGCACGGAGGACATTGGACCTCAGCGTTCCAGACACGTATTCATCGTACACGACTCATACGCCACCAGTAGTCATCATCGATCCAATACTGTCCCCCTTTCCTACTTAACACTCTAATTTCTTTGTCGACTCAATTGAAAACATGCAGTGGTTCTCTGGGGCCGAGCACTTAAGGATCAGCCTTGTCACTACTGTGGCGGGGATTGGATCCTTGGCCTGGAAACTTCTGTTTTCCACACAAGGACCAAAATAAATTAATCAAATCAAAAAGTGAGGAATCATTTTAGAAGTACCTTTTACAAACAACATACTAAACAAGCACCTCGAATCATTCTTCCCCTAACACATCTCAGACCAACGCTCTCTTTCGCTATAGGTGCCTTAATCTATATCATGGTCTATACTCCATACTCAACACTCAGATGCCGCTGCCTCCGCTACTTAGATTCTGCATTTCTTTTGGATTCCGTACCCGGATTTACTTATTTTCTTCCCCGGGACTGTGGCACAAGAAAGTTCCCACGCCCGTCATCAAACCCACACCACAGCACCGACCCAGGGAAAGCCGGATCCTTAACCCACCGCTGTCAGGAAACTCCCCCACATTTCTTAATAGTACAGTAATCACTCGAATCGAAAAAGTCCAAGCAAAGAAACTCAGCCGTTACTCACATTAATCTCCATTCTACTATATAGAGGCAACCACCGAGCCCGTGCCCGTGGCAGATGTTCAACCATCTCTAACGCCTTCATCCTGGGCGGTACAGAACACAGAGGGTGACAAAGGCGTTAGGATCTAATTGCCACTGATCATCGTTGCCCGACTTCCCCTTACACAATATTTATGCATTTATCACTTCCTATATACTTTCATTCTAGTGAAAGAAAAAACAAAAACAAACCAACCTCAATCTTTACTCCGTGGCAGAACTTAAACGGACTTTTATGAACGCATTGCTATCTAACTTTGGTCAGATATCCGACCCTTGCCAGGTATTTGATGGGCCTCACTGTTTTCAAGGTTCATGAACAGCCTCATTTCCTAAGCCTCTTCATATGTGGACAATGATTCACCCTATTTTTCCTTATTTCTTCACTTACGTTTGCTTAATGATTCTGGCACGCAGCCATTCCTAACAAACCCACGACAAAGAAATAAATACGAGAACACATGACCTTTGTATACCCCTGGCATCTCTCTACAGACACAATTTCCCCCAAGAGAGGAGACTCCTTAGGTGCTGGGACAGACCTCAGAGTTTCAGAGATGCTTTCTTCCTTCAGGACTCTTCCCGTCACGCGCCTCATCACTGGTCCGTGACGGGGTCTCTGTGCCTCCTTCACGTGTATTACTTCATTGACGGATTCAGCAATTCCCACACAGTCATTCAGACACTCA